TGCTTCGTTATCCTACGTAGAGTAAATATTCTGCTGGCATCACTAGAACCACTTACATGCCAGCACAAGTCTTACAAATGACCCGAGTTGGAGGATGTGGCTCCGTGCCCAGGGAGGCATCTGTTGGAGAGCAGCACAAGCAGGTATCTGCCCAGAAAAGGCGGAAAATAAAAAAAAAAAACATCGCCACACGTCACTGCTGACTAAAGCTGCTAATGATGATATCCGGGTTTGACGTTTCCAACTTTGCACTAAGCTATTATGCAGTAAATATATTTTACAATTATACTTTTAAAAACAAACTACCTGACAGAACGACAATGATTAGTCAGGAGTGTAACTAATTTTGAGCCTAATGTTCGTACAGATCTGTGTCCACAAAACTTTCCATGAACAGACTCAATATTTATCAAACGCATTTAAGTGTTAAGTAGAGAACGCACCCCTGACAGCTGTGACACCTTACATAAAAGATTAATGTATAAAAAGTCATGTCAGCTGAATAAGAAAAGGAAAAAAAAACACACACAATGCTTTACAGTAGAATAATGATATTTTGGTCTTTAGTTTCAAACTGGATTAGTAGCTAATGCATTTGCTTCACTTCATGAATACATGCTATATACAAGAGATTATTATGAGCGCACTTCAGTCGTTCTAGTGCTCGGCTTTAAATAAAGGGGAGCTTTAACATCAGATATCTCAGCTGAAGAGCGAGCGCTCATGTGGCTTAAAATAGCTACTGATTAAAGTTTTTCCAGCTCATTTTTATTGGAGCCTAAATTCTGCTCCATCTCTTCATCAGTTTCAACTCCACACTATTTAAAACTGCACAGTCTTTCCAAATTGCATCAGATAACCAGGCTACATAGTCGTACACTTTGATACTGAAGACCGCCGACATCTCGGAAAATATTTACGAGATGTAAAATGGAAATCTGACACCAACTTCTTTGATTTCAGAGTTACGCTTTGAAAACAAACAATAATCATGAACTGCCAGGTCTGCTTTTGTTCTGAAGTTTTATGCAAGACCTGGTTTATTTCAGGGAAATATCTTAAAGTTACATACCAAGCTTTAGACAGAAAGAGGGGCTTCAATCCATCAGCCAAGAAGGCTGCTTCACACCCACCTAAACCAACAGGAAACTATTAATAACTAATAGCCTCCATACATGCTGTTCCTCTATGTAAATACTTTGGGAAGGATAAATTTCTATATTCCATCGTTAGTATGTCAGAAGTTGTGTTTTCCTGTAAATGCATTCACGTCAAAAGACGCATAATTTTCGTGTTCCTGAACGCAGCCCATGAGGAGCTTTAAAACATAACAGCTCCAGGTTGCCACATTTAGTGGGCAGTTGTCTGCTGTGATGTGTGAAACAGCAACATGTGCCAAGCTGATAGTTCAGCCTCTCAACATTGTAACACCAACATTCCTGCGGCTGATATTTTTAGACCGGCTTTACTCTGTTGGACACAGCAATGCGCATTCTCTAAATATAAACTCATTAACCCTTTAGAAAAACCGGCCGCTGATTATTCAGTTCTACATATTTCAGGTGGATCTGATTCATAAAGTCATATCTATCCGAGCGGTTCAGTAAATCAGAACAGAGAGGAACAAATGGTTCACATTTCAACCAATCTGATCTGATCCCGGCCTCCCCCAGCTGTCTACTGTCCTCCACCTTACGCTCCCCTTTAATCCCCGGAAGCTCCTCTTCTTCCTCTACGCCGTGCCTCACCCACTCACTCCACCAGCATAGCTCCAGAGCGACATGCCTCCGTGTCTGTGCTTGCGGCTTCACAGCGTCGCTCACCATGGTGCCAGCGTTCGTGCCTCCCTCATCCTCTTGCCCTTTCACACAGCGTGTCCTTCTGGCCTGATATTTACAGAAATAGTCACGATAAGTAACAATAATGTGTGGGGGAAACAAGCTAGCGCTAAAAGAAATCCAGTACATGTTGAAGAATATGTCGGAGGTTTATGTTTTTACCATTTCTACAAGTCACAGGAGACAATACAATCCAATTTGATCCCATTTCTGCAATTTTCCGTTCATTTGTCTCAATTAAAACACTCTGCGGTGCCGTAATCCCCGCCAGGCTTGTGTTTGTAAATCAGTGTGTGTTTTACTCACCAACCAAGCCATCAGCATACAGCCAAACAGGCTCATCATTGTCATACACATAACGAGTGTGGGCAGAGTTTGTCCATCGGGTCAAGTTGCTGGTGGCTTAGAAATGAGCAGCAGGGATCACTGAAGTCCGAAGCTGCCACACATTTGTTTCACTTGCAGACAAGGTCACTCGGTAAATCCCCGATCACCTACTTTGCTGTGAGTCAACTCAGACATTTGCTCCTTCCCACAACTTTTCTGTCCACCCCGATTCTCTCAATCCCTTCTCTTCTGCCTCTATTTTTAACCGGCTTAGCAGCACTAGAAGCATGAGCGCTTTATTCTCTGCCTTATTCCTCACTCCTGGTTACCTGCCTGCCAATTCACAAGGTCTGCTAATCCTGTAATGGGGCAAGTGCTGAGAACAGTTATATTAGTAACAGGGTACAGGCTGAAGGTGTTCGCTTCAGAGAAATGTTCCTTAAAGTTACATATAAAAGCCTTTGATCCAGTTTACAGCACATCCTCTTGAAGTCCCGGCATTTTACGGCACCTTGAAAAGAATTTGCACACCTTTATCTGTTTGATCTTATAACCTCACTTTTCACAAACGGAGTGATTGTACATTGGAAGAAAAAAAAAAGTTTTTGCAAATGAAAGTACTGCATGAGGAGTAGTAATCTATTTGGACACGTCTCTGAATTTTAAACGCCAATGGAATGTTTTGGTCTATTTTTTTGGACCAAAACATTCCAAATTGACACAAATTCCTAATTGGATTTAGGTCCGGACTTTGATTAGGCCATTGTAACACATTCTGTTGAGGCCTCTGAATTAGTCGCAGGCGGATCTGTACAGTAATGAGGCGAGTTCTTACGGCAGCTAGTGGTACTGCTCGAGGTTTCAGTGCAAAGGTGGGTCTGAAGAGAAGTGCACACTTTTCATATTTGTGTTCATTGTAAATTTAAAACAGTGGTTATGAAAAGTTTAGATCTAATTACATAGAATCTACAACAGTGGCTATTTAAAAAAAACAAAACGATAGTGACCAGTTTCTTGAAAAATGCTTGATTTACTGATCTTCAGCAAGCAAGACCTCCTCTTCTTAAGCAGAAGTTTGGACAGTTTCTCTGTTGTTAGCATGCAGCTGTGTGCTAGTGTAACACCAAGAACGAGACATCAGGCGTGTTGGACATGGGAGACGTCTAAGAGTTGCAGAACACCAGCCTGGAGGACTGAACTTGAAAACTTCTGCTGTTGTAACTGTGTGTCAATGTGGGAATGGTTAGAAGACAATTTCCACATTTGAATCCATCATTCTAGAGTTGGACATTTCTGGGTTGATGTCATCTGGGCAGAAGAGACTAAACCAGAGATTTTTGATCATAATGCATAACACAATGTTTGGAGTAAACTAAACACAGAACAATTATCTCTTTCTAATTGGCAAAAGCCTGGAAATCATGTGGTCAGTGATTCAACAGCGAACCTCATCAGCATATCGACGTACTTTACAGTAAAATGTGAGGCCATCTGCCTTAGAGGTAAAACGTGGCCAAAATTGGGGAACAAGACAACGATCCAGCAGAAAATAAAATAGTTTTACAATGGCTCAAATAAAGTCCAGACCTAAATCTGATAGAAAACAACCTGAGATCTTTGCTGCATGTTGTCTCCGTCCATTTCCTTTTTTGAAGAACACTAGTGGCACAGGATATTTAAAGGAGGAGTGAGAGAACAGAAGGAGAATCAAGAAGATAATGAGAATAGGAGATGGCAATGAAAGGAAGTACATGGAAGAAAGCAAAATGATTTGGATGCGGAAGGAAGGACACAGGGAAAGGAAATAAGGCATTCCAATGATGGAATGAAGAGGGAGGAAGGATACAGGGACGATCTGATGGTTGTAAGGAAGGATGAGAGAAGGTAAGGAATAAAGGACACAAGGTAAGAAAGATAAAAGACAAAATAAGACCAAGAAACATCAGTTTTTAGATATTGGGGCAGGGAATAATGTTTTGAAAGACGAGCATGTTTCTGTCCTCCATTTTTTGTCTCCATATTGATCCATACCTAGAAAAAAAAATCCAGTAATTTCCCCAGACTGCACCAGAACCCCGACTGGCCTTTAGCTGGGAGAGACAGACATGATGTCAGCAATGGACCCATTAGACATTCAGTACTGAGGAGCTTGTTCATGTGTGACCAGAATACAGGCAGAGGGGTAACAGACTGCAGAGTCATGGTGTGCTGCTAGCCTTCATCTGCAGCAGCTCAGGCTAATCTGCAAAGGCCCAGGCTCATTCAGGACACAGCGGCACACCGTACCAATTAATACTGATAAGCTGCAACACACGAGCAGCGTACACACGAGTCACTGCTGCGGCAGAGATATCTGCATAATCCCCAAACTCTGCATCTGTAGAGGGAATTATTTGCTGTGGTTAAAGTGCTCAAACTGGATCACCTTCATCTGTGAAAAAAAACAAAAAACCTTTATCCTGTGCTGCTGGAGTGTGATACAGAAGGAAATGCAGCCCAAGATAGAAAGAGGTGAGTCAGACAGGATGAGGGAAAGCACCAGAACGAGAGTCCGTATCAGTTGAGCCACCGCAGTCCTCCGATGCAGCGTGAGAACCGGAGCCTCGTCGGGCTCCTCATTCCACCATCATCTCCCGACAAACGGCACAAAGCGACGCTCATTAAGCAGCAAGAGCACACCACACTCTAATGGGTGTTTTCTGTGCTGGTCATTAGCAGGTGTGGAGCTACTCCGCTCTGCTCGCTCGCTCGGTAAATACTGCCCTCTGGTGGGGAAGGCGTGGAACAACAGCTGGGAGTGGAGGGAAATAATGCTGCAATGAATACGAACACTGATTTCGGAAACATTAAAATTTGTTTATTGAATCAACAAGGAATTTGAAAACCTAATTTACGTGTGAGATGATTAAAACCTGAAGTTTTCCAGCATAAATCACCAGTTTATAGATTAAATAAGATATGAAACACCCTCATGGCACCAGCACAAAGAAAACCCTCTAAAATCATAAAGGAGGATAATTTAAATATTTCAACCACTACTACTCTTAGTGGTCTCCGTGTCAACGCCATTTTGACCTCTTAAACCCCTAATCCTCCAGACGAGATTCATTGCAACAGATTCATGGTTATAATCCAGATTTATCCTAATCCAACTGAACACACTGCCTCACAAAGTAAATAATAATAATAATGATAATAAAAAAAAAAACAGGTACAAAGTTTTTCAATGTTCAGACATGGCGACGTATTTAGCAACCGTGTCCTTCATTTTGTGGCTTTAAGGACGGACAGAAGGATGCAAAACGTCTGCTGCTCAAATACAAAAATATGGCTCTCGGGCTGTGCGCCCAGTCTTCATCAAAAAGTCTAATAGGAAACAGAAAAAGCTGCAGGAATATGTGCTAAAACATGATAAGACAGCAGTTTAAAAACCTAATGTCGTCACGGTCTGTGGCTCTCGTCTCGGCGCTGCCTGATTAACTGCAGCTAATGGCTTCACTGCAGGGCGCCTGTTTCACACCGACTTCATGCCAGCTGGGCTAGAAAACCAACAGATGCAGCTACCAGGATTTATTGGTCTTCCCCTAACCAAGTTACATCTATAACCACAGCAGGTAGGAGTATTTAATATTCTGTATAAACAGGCCGACATTATCAGTGTTCATCACATGGACACGTTTTGTAACTGTATAGAATGCTGGGATTTTAAACATCCAGCTACTTTACATTCTTGTGCAGTGGTGCACAGCAACAGTTTGCATCTGGCTCAACATCATAAAAGCGACATGTCTGAACGTTGTCATCTCACAATAAAGACTACTGGCAATATGGCAGAAAATATTCACATTCACAAAGTTATTACTCTAGGAAAGAGTGAGATTGTGTCCTTTTTAAACAGGAATGCACCCAGTCACACACACACACACACACACACACACACACACACATCCATTTGGTTCGACGACCCTCAGACGATCATGGCGGATGATATGAAGCTGTCTCCGCGGCTGACAGGAAGGCTCCCGTTATTGTCCTGAAGGTCACTGTTTGTGAGCATGTAAGGAGGTGGGACGTCGTTGTTCTTGGGGTCATTCCAACCTGAGGGGGCAGAAGAGAAGTAAACCTCTCCATCGTGGGCTTCAAGCTCGTCATCGACGGCATCCTCCTGGTAGCCATCGAGGTCCTGCCAACGACAATATAAGTGGTGAATGTTCACATTTGTTCCTGTCATGGCTGGAAGAAGAAAACAGAACCAGAAAAAAACACATATTGCACCTAAAAATCAATCAAACCCTGCTGGCTAAATTCTGACTTGCTTTAGTATTTGCAATAAAAAATAAATAAAAAAACAAAAACAGGGTTTGTTGCCTGTTCAAATACATGGAAGAATGAGGGGAGGCACAAATGGCCCATTGCTGTCTCTCTTTATAAATCCCATAAACATATAAGATTACACATGTTCTACAGATGCTGACACTTCGCAGTCTGTCTAGTATATGTAATGAATATGTGTGACATATTTAGTCTCAGCAGCCATGAATGCGCAGTAAAAATCTGCAGGGTGGACCAGGAAGTACCATGACACACTGATAGGGGGCAGTGCTGAGCCCTGTAGGCACAATATGCAACAAGTGTCCTTCTACAGATTGAAAAGACTGTAAACAATCAGAAAAAATACACTCGGAATAGAAACTATCCAGAATGATGGTCCGTCTCGCCGATCATCTCCATTGAAGCAGCCAATTTTTTTTTTTTTAAATTAAGGCAAATAAAGTTTTTATTTACAACAGATGCAGATATTTGTGGAGAATGATTGGCACATAGACTTTACAACATGCTAAGGTGAGATTGCACACATTTTTTTTTTCATTTTAGTTTGTTAAAAAAAAGAGAAGACAAAAAATAAAATTTCTTAAAAATCATATTTTTTCGCTATTGGAGTTTTAATCTGAGTGAGTGAATGCACAGTAAACGCTTTGGAGTCCTTGGACTTGATAAAGTGTTCTATACATGCAAGCAGTTTAACATTTTCCCAATTTGACAACAGGTGACTATTTAATTTTCTTGCATCATAAGGCTAAATTAAAAACGTATAAAATAAAAATATTTCAGTCAAGATCAAAGATTGTACTTTTGTTCTTCATATTTGGCTCCATAGCAGTCATGAACCTCACCTCATATTACTGAGGCTGTTTATGTTTCCAATAGAGTTAAAATAAATAGATACAGAATTCTATAATCTAGTACACATGTGTCAAACTCAAGGCCCGCGGGCCACATGTGGCCCGCCATGTCATTTTATGTGGC